AACCCAAAAATGTTAAAAAAAAAAAAAAAAAAAAAAAAAAAAAAAAGATAATAAAATGGAAAAAAAAATGATAATAAAAAGGAAAAAAAAGAAAAGGATTTTATGAATTTCTTTTTTAATTATTTTATTAATATATGTATTTATAATTATTTAACTTCATAGAGATAGAACTAGAATAAAAAAAATTAGAAATGTTAGTGAAAATGATATGATTCATAAACATAGAATACTAAAATATCCTTATTTTAAAATGAAAAGAATTGGAAGTTATAGTAAAATAATAAAAAATAATGATTTCCTTTTTAATAGAGACATAGAAATTTTGTATGACTATCGATATTGTTCTATATTTGAAAAGTTAAAAGATATTATTTCATTTTATTTAAAAGGTATTTCATAAAAATATATCATTATTAAAAAAAGTAAAATATATAAATATAATTAATAAGACAAAAATAAATATTTTTAAAAAAAATCATTTTTAGGAATAGTTATAAAAGAAAAATGTACTAATGATTTATGTTTTGAAATATATGACTGCTTACAAAATAAAGTATTAATTAAAAGAAAAAATGAAGGTTCTTAAAAAAAAAAAAAAAAAAAAAAAAAAAAAAAAAAAAAAAAAAAAAAAAAGTCAAATAAGATCAAAATATATTAGAAAAAATTAGACAGTTTAAAAAAAAAAAAAAAAAAAGAAAAATCATTAAAAATAGAAATATATAATTAAAAAATACGAAATCAAATAATAAATGTCAATTTATATATAAATTTTTTGTAGAATTAGAAGCTGAAGAATTATTTAAAGAAATGCTTGAAAAAATGAAATAAAATAAATGAAAATACATATTCATAATATCTTAAATTATTAAAATTAATATAAAAATATAATACAATTTTTTTAAACAATAATTTTTTAAGTATAAAATTTTTTTAAATCATAAAAATTATTTTAATTTCCTTTCTTTAGATTTTAACTTTGCAACAATTTTTTTTATTTTCATATCTCTTTTTTCTGCTTTTTTTTTTTTTATTAATTCTGCTTTTTTTTTCATTTCATCAATTTTTTTCAATGTTCTTCTCCTAAATGATATCCATTTTTCTTCACTTTTAGATAATTTTTTTTTTTTTTTATTATAAGATGTATATGTATGATCATTTATTTTTTTATTATTTGCATTATTCTTACTATTAATTAAGTCTTTTTTATTAACTTTATTATTATTTTTAGATTTGAGATAAAATAAATAATTATCTTCATTTTGTGTAATGGAATAAAATAGTTTTTTAAAGACTGCAGCTTTTTGAATATTATCTGCAAAATGATAAAAACATATTTCATTATTATCATTTCGTTCTGATAAATTGCCTACTATTTTTCTTAATTCTAATGTATTATATATTTCATTCATAAAAATGAAGCATGAATTTTTATATGATTTTTCTTTATTTATATAATGTTTTACATTTTTTGAAGTACTTAGTATATCATCATATTCTAATTTTTCAATTTTACATTTCATTTTGATTAATTCTCTCTCTTTTTCATCTACGCATACAATAACTTTTTTCATATTTTCATTCTTTAGAATAAATAATAAGATTTTCATTTTTTTTTCAAAACTATCTGCAAAAACGTTCTCAAAATTGTATCTATATTTTTTCTCTTTTTTATGATAAATATAAAGTTTTAATTTTTCTATTTCACTATCATTTTTATTTATTTTTTTTTTTTTTTTGGTATTTTCGCAATATTTGTCTAAATCTTCATCATCACACTTATTTAATTCGTTTAAATTTTCAACAAAGTTTTCATTTATATTTTCATCAATGTTTTTATCAAATTTTTCATTTATATTTTCATCAAAGTTTTCATTTATATTTTCATCAATGTTTTTATCTATATTTTCATCAAAGATTTCATTTATATTTTCATCAAAGTTTTCATTTATATTTTCATCAATGTTTTTATCAGTATTTTCATCAAAGATTTCATTTATATTTTCATCAAAGTTTTCATTTGTATTTTCAACAAAGTTTTCATTTATATTTTCATCAATATTTTTATCAAAGTTTTCATCAATATTTTTATCAAATTTTTCATTTATATTTTCATCAAAGTTTTCATTTGTATTTTCAACAAAGTTTTCATTTGTGTTTTCAACAAAGTTTTCATTTATATTTTCAACAAAGTTTTCATTAATATTTTTATCAAAGTTTTCATCAATGTTTTCATTTATATTTTCATCAATTTTTTTATCAGTATTTTCATCAAAGTTTTCATTAATGTTTTTATCAATATTTTCATCAAAGTATTCATTTATATTTTCATTTGTATTTTCATCAAAGTTTTCATTTATATTTTCATTTGTATTTTCATCAAAGTTTTCACTTATATTTTCATCAAAGTTTTCATTAATATTTTCATCAATATTTTTATCTAATTTATTGTCTATGTTTTGATTATCATATTTAAAATTGTAGTTTGTTTGTTTTATTTCTTCCAAATTAACTAACGTTTCTTCTTTTAATTCTTGATTATTGATATTGTTATTATGTGTCAAAAATTCATGTTCATTTAAAAATGATTTATTAAATTCGAAAATTAATGAATCTTGTTTTGGATATATATCAAAATATTTAAAAATATATTCATCTTCACTTTCTCCTTCACTTTTACTTTCACTTTCACTTTTTCTTTCATCAGTAACATTTTTCAAATTTTTTTCTTCATTTTTTTTATATAAAATGTAATCTTTAATACCTGATAAAGATACATCACTAAGATCAATTGTTTTAGTAGTAAGAATTTGTTCTTTTTCATTTTTCTCCTCCTCTTCCTTTTTTTTAGAATTATTATCCTTATCTTCTAATAGACTATTATTTATTTTTATATATTTTTCGTTATTTTGTTTATTATCCTTATCTTCTAATACACTATTATTTATTTTTATAGATTTTTCGTTATCTTTTTTATTATCTAGTTCTATATTATTATTAACTAATTTTAATTGAATGTTTATATTAATACAATAAGAGTTAAGTAAATTATTCATTTTATTTAATAAATTATTAATATTATCTGTTTTTATATTGTATTTTTTTAATATTTCGCATAAGCGTTCTTTCTCTATTTCGTATATATTAACTGCAAAGATATGGTGTTTTTCCACTTTATTATTTTTCTTTTTCTTTTTTTTTTTAATAAACACATTTTTATTTAAAATATCATTTATTATATTTTTTAGATCATTTTCATTGTAATATAAATTGTCTTTAATTACCTTTTCTTTAGAATATTTCTTTAATAAATTATTATATTCTTTTTCCATTTCATTTAAGCTATCGTAGTTAATGTTTTTAATATTTTTGTTTTCTAGATTTTTATCAAATTCCTCAACGTTTAAAATAATTTTGTTTTCAGATTGTTTTTTTTGTTGTTCTTTTTTTATAAACTCATATTCCAAATATTTTAAATAATTTATATCTAAAAGATTATCATGTAAGCAATTAAGAAAAATTTTTTTTATCTCTTCTAACTTATATACTTTTAATTTTTTTAAAGAACATATAAAATTCATGTCTTTGTATTTCGTTAATCTAATTATATAAATCATAAAGTCACTACTGAAACATATATCATTTATATTATAATTTTTTACTTTATCTATTAATTTTAAATTTTGTAAAAAATTATATAATTCTTCTCTTTTTCTTCTTTTTCCTAAACAGCAAAAAAGACCACTAATAGAATCAACTAGTCTAAAAAAATAAAAACAAAAAGATTTATATTTTTCATCTCTATTTATTAATTTAGTTATTTTTGTTTTTGATTGACTTTCATTTAATTTTTTAAATATATTTTCTTCCTCATTAAAATTTTCTTGTAAATTATTTATTTTTTCATTATATAAATTAGATGTCTCATTATTATAGAATTTATTTTTATATTTTCCAATTAGTTGATTAGAAATATTCTTATCATTATTTAGAACATCACCTAAATGATCATAAATATTAATTTCTTTTTTACCAGTACTATTAATATTATTATTTATTTCTTTAATAGAATCATTACAAATGTCTAATTTATTTTGGTTGTTAGAATTTCCTTTAATACTAGAATTGTTCATTTCTAAAAAATCTTCATTATTATAATTTTTATCCTTTATATCTTTATAATCAATATTTTTATTTTCATTAGATTGCAAGTTATAAGAACTATTAAAAGTAAAAAAGCTAAGAATATTTGTAATTTCATTAACATAGACTGAAACATCTAAAATATTCTTTGAATAAAATTCTGAAATTTTGAAAATGTAAGAAGAAGTATTTACATCTAAACATTCATTTAATTCTCTTTTTATATATGATCTAACAGATTCATACTTTGTTGGATTATAAATATATTTTTCTTTTTTAATTATTTTAACCTTTTTGTATATATGATATAAATATAAATAATTATAATCTTCTTCTTTAATTGCATTTATAAATTTTTCACTTTTTCCTTCATAATTATTATCGTCAATTTTTTTTGTATTTATATCTATGCAGTCTTTATTTATTTCATTTTGAACTAGCTTAATCCTATTACAAGAAATTTCTTTTTTCTTTTTCGATTTTCTCCAAATAAAATTTTTGTCATAAATTAAAATCTTATTCTTTTTAATGATGAAAGAAAAACATATTTTTAAAAGTATGAGGAATACAATAATTAAATATGATTTCATTAAAATTAAAATTTATTCATATTTTTATTCATATTTTTATTCTTATTTTTATTCGTATTTTCTTATTTATATTTACATTAATTTAAAAAGTTGCAAAAATATTCGTAAAAATGTTAGATAAGAATAATACTTAATTACTAAAGGAATAATGAAAAAAATAATAAAAAAAATTAAATTATCTAATCAAAATTTTTTTGTATAAAAATCTTAAAATGTACATTTTTTTTTTTTTTTTTTTTTTTTTTTTTTTTTTTTATACATTTAATTTTTATGCATAACAAAAAATTTCTGAAAATACCTATTTATTGATATATGTATATTTTTTTTTTTTTTGTAATAAATGAAAAATTTATAAAAATGATAAAATATAATTTGAAATACTGTTGTGATGACATTTGTATTTTTCCTAGTTGTGCCTTGTTAAATTATGATGGTGAAAACGAAAAATTTGTACATAATTTGAAATAATAGTCACATTAATATATACGAATATTATTTCTACCTTTTTCTTTTTTTTTTGTAGATAAATTTAGTGATACTTTTGGTTTAACTGCAGTTTCAACATATCAGCTTAAAAATAATAATAAAAATAATAAGCAAAAAAAAAAAGGAAAAATATATTTATTTAGACTTACGGAAAATATAAGTGAAAATGATAACTCTGATATGTATAAAATAAAATCTTGAATAACTAACTAAATTTCTTTTCTAATTTAATGAAAATATAAATGAATTTTTTATTCTTATTTTTATTCTTATTTTTATACTTATTTTTAATTTTCTTTTTAGAGATTATTTTCTTAGTTATGAGAAAAATATAAATTTTCATAGTGGAGTTCTTCAATCTAATTATATTTTTTCAAATGAAGTATTCAAATAAATTTTTAATTATATGAAAATTATTAATTTCTTTTTTTTTTCTTTTCTTTTTTTTTTTTTTTTTTTGGTAGAATCTATTATTAGGAAGTGTATGTGTTAATGGTTTTTATTTATCAGATGTAAACAAGGGAAATTATGAAAAATTAATTCAAACAAAAGATGAAGAAAATAATTCAGGTTTCATGTTTTAATATTATATTGATAAAAATAGCATTTTTTTTAAATTCTTTTACATTAATTATTCTTTAGGATTATCATTCGAAGCTTTTGATAACAAAACTGAGTTATAATTAAAAAGAAAAAAATGAATAAATAAACAAAACATTAAAAATACATATAAATTAATATTTTACAATTTTTATATTTTACTATTTTTATATTTTTTTTAAATATATTTCTAGAGCAATATGTGTTACTTTTAGTAATGGTGATATTTGTTATCTCGTTGATGGAATAAAAAAAAAATTATGGTTATAAATAAAAAAAAAAAAAAATATATATATATATATATATAAATATATAATATATTTTATTTAAATTATTATATTTATGAAAAATAAAAATTATAAATACAGGAAAGGTCATGAATATCATATATGGTCATGCACATTTAACGGAAGTAAAGATATAATAACAACAGGTTTAAATTTTTTTTATTTTTTTTTTTTTAATATTTTTATCATTTCTTTTAAAAAATGCATTTTTTTTTTTTTTTTTTTTTTTTNTACAGGAAAGGTCATGAATATCATATATGGTCATGCACATTTAACGGAAGTAAAGATATAATAACAACAGGTTTAAATTTTTTTTATTTTTTTTTTTTTAATATTTTTATCATTTCTTTTAAAAAATGCATTTTTTTTTTTTTTTTTTTTTTTTAATTGAAGGCTCTGATGATTGTTCATTTATTATATGGGACTTAAGAACTGACAATTTTGTTCAAAAAAATAAAAAGTAAATTTATGTAATTTATAATTAAAAAATTAAGTATTTATATTTTAAACAAATATCAAAATATTAATTTAATTAAAAATATGTATATATATATGGGTAATCTTTTGTGTCTTTTTTTTTTTTTTTTATTATTATAGATCTCATTCTCAAGGTGTTACTTCAGTCAATTTCGAAATTGTTAATAATCTATTATATACAGGATCGTATGAAAACAATATATATATATATATATTTTTTTTTATTTATTATATTATTTTTTTTTTTTTTGTTTTTTATTAGATATGATAATAAAATTCGTATTTTTGATTTACGAAATATATGTGACCCTTTACAAATAATTGACGTTAATTCATCCATATGGAGACTTAAGTTTTTATATAAGTAAAACATACTTACTAAATATTTAAAATTATATATTAAAATTTCTTTTTTTTTTTTTTTTTTTCTTAACAGAAATAAAAAATTAAACAAATTATTAGTTGCAGCTTGTGATGGAGGAGCAAAAGTTTTTAAGAAAATAAATGATGGTATATTAATATAAAAAAAAGATAAAACAAATAATAAAAAAAATATTAAGTATTTATTTTTAATAAAAACAATATAATTTTATATATTCACAATTACATTTTACTACTTTTTTTTTTTTATATGACTTTTACAGAATTTATTTTTAAAAAGGGTGTAACGAATAATAATGAATTAACTTACGGAATTGATGCCATTGATATTCCGAATAAAAAAAAAAAAAAAAAAATTTATTTTACTTGTTCTTTTTATAATAAAGAAGTACAAATGTGGATTTAAAAAAAATAATATAAAACAATTTAAGTAAAAAAATGTATATACTTATTATGTTTTTAATATATATAATAATTAAATTAATTATATATATATATATATATGAATAATAAAATTTCCTCTATAATTTATATATTACACATATGATAATTCTCCTCTATTATTTTATTTATTTATTTATTTATTTTTTTTTTTTTCTATTATAATACATTAAGAATATACTTTTCTTAAAATTATTTTATATTTATTTGTTTGTTTTTATAACTTTCATGTTTTCTCATACTGCATTTCGTTTCTTAATAATCTTCATTTTCTTTATTATTGTCAATATTTTCTCCAAAATAACTTTCTCGTTCATCATTATTTTCATCATTATTTTCATCATCCTTTTCACCGTTATTATTATTTAGAATTTCAGAATTTTCATCTTCATCATCTTCATCATCTCCCTCATTATGTTCAATGTCTCCATCTGTTAGTTCCTCATCATTTTTTATATCATTATCATCCTCACTAGTGTGAAATATATCTATCCATGTTGTAATATATAATAAAATTTCATTAAATTTTTCTAATGTTTGTAATGAATAATTTTTATCTATATTGTATATGAATGGGTAATCAAATTTTTTATAATAAAAAAAATGTTGAACGGATGTAGATATTACATGATTTTTTTTATTATTACATTCATCTAAAAATATGAATAAACATGATCTTTTAAAAAAATTAATATCAAAAATATTTTCTTCTTTGTTCATCATAAAGACATGATTTTTAAAAATATTATTTATAGAAAATAATGGCACAAAATTTCTGTTAAAAACATGAGAAAATTTAATTTTATTTAAATTAGCAAATAAAAATTCTTCTTTCTTATTTTTACAGAAATTCAATAATAAATTGTCATCATTATTATTCATAAATTCATAAAAAAATTTGGTACTTTTGTTATCTAAACAAATAACATACAAATTCTTTATATTGAAGTAAAATAGCATTAGCATAAGTATTCTAATAATAATCATCTTGTTTTTGGAAAAATTTTCATTATAATTTATATGTGGATAAATAGTAAAACTTTGAGATAAGTAAGATATCTTATCACATATATTTCTTACACTGATGTTTAAATTTTTCTCGTTTCCGCTTAATATTAGTACACCTTTATTTGTATCAACATTTAATTCATTAATTTTAGGTAAATTTTTATTTTCATCATCAATTTGGTTTGATAAATTTATAATTATTGATTTACTCTTTCTTTTAAAAAAATTATGGTCATTTAATTTTGGTATACATATATATGAGAAATTATTTTCAATATTTTTTATAATATCGCTTTCCTCCTCTTTAGAGAAAGAATTATTTTTTTCATTTTTATTTATAGCATTTATTTCATTATTATTTTTTATTTTATTATCTTCTGATATATCATTTCTATGTATTTTTTTAACAAAATTTTTCATAGATTTACTTAATAAAGAGCAATTATAATTATGAAAATTAAAATTGTGAATCTTTAAATCATTTAAAAAATTGTTCTTGTTTAAAATGTTAGCTATATTCAAGTTTTTCAAATTATCAAAATTTTTATTTAGAATTGATAGCCTTTGTTTTACATCTATTATTTCTTTAATACTTTCAATAGACAATTCTTTATCTAATTTTTCTAAATTATAATTATTTTCTTCTAAATTATTAAGATTATCATGATCACTATTTACATCATTCAAGGAAACTTTGTTTATTTTATTAGTATAACTATTATTTTCATCATCAATATTTTTACTTATTCTAGATTCATTACTATTGTATTCTGTATAATTGCTGTCATCATTTTTATTAACCTTTTCCTCACAATTATCATCTTCATGAACTAGTGAAACGTGTTTATTTATTTCTTCTGTTTTCTTTTCTTTTATTTTCTTTAAATCATGAATGGTGCTTTTATAACTTTTTAAATACTTATATTTCAAGTATATAATATTTTTGTATATTTCATTTTTTAAAACATGTAATTCCCGTTCAGAAATCGTATTAATAAAATTATCATCAATATTTAAAAAATACCTACCTATACTATCATCAATATATACTTTTTTATTTCTAGTTTTCGCTTGAACTTCTAAAAATAAACTAATTTTATTATAATTATTATCTTTTTCATCATCAATTTTATTTTCTTCCAGTTGTTTTTTTAATAAAATATTTAATAAATCATAATTTAAATTGCATAAATTTAGTATATTATTTTTCTTTTGTTGTTCAATTCTTATAATTTCGTCTCTTTTTTTATATTCTTTATTATCAGAATCACAATCTTTCTTTACATTGTTATTTAAATTTTCATGTAAATTAGTAGTTTTTTTATCTACTTCTTTATTATTTTCTTCTTTTTTTTTTTTTTCTTCCTCATATTCATTAATTATTTCATCTAATATTTCTTCATATTCACAATTTCTGCTTTTTTCTAAATAATTATAATTATCATTGCTATTGTATATTTTAATATTTCTTAAATTACTAATTTTATTTACTTTTAAGTTATAAAAAGTTTTTTTTCTACTTGTTAAAAATAAATTACAAAAATAAAAAAAGCAGTGAAAACTTTTCATTAAAATAAAATTAACTTATTAGGTAAATTTAGGAATATTAAAAAAAAAAAAAGAAATTAAAAAGGGAAAATATAATAAATGGAAGTTTCATAAAATTATTCTTACCAAATGAATGTTCTTTATAAAAAAAAAAAAAAAAAAAAAAAAAAGGAGAGATCTTTAAAAATAAGTTTTAGTAAAACTATTTATTTATATAAAAAAAATGTATAATACAAAGATACTTTTATATTAAAAAAAGTACTATATGAGAAAAAAAAGAAAAAAAAAAAAAAAATAAATTTTTTTTTTTACCATTTTTAAAAGTTATATGAATTTATTAAGATGCTAAAAAAAAAAAAAATGATTATATTTTCAAATGGTAAACTTTTTTAAATCTATAAATGAAATTTTGCTGAAAAAAAATAATTTACGTTTAAGAAATAGTATATTTGAAAAAAAGAAACATTTTTATAGTATAAAAATAGTTGATACATTGAAAAATAAAAATGTAAAAGTGTATGATGATTTAATAAAAAAAAAAAAAAAGGTAGAGAAAGAAAAAGATAAATTAAAAAAAGAAGAGAGTAATTTAATGAATACGAAAAATGATTTATATGAATTGAATAAAAATAAAACCATTTTTTATGAAAGTGAAAGAATTATTAAATGTGTAAGTGGGAATGGAGGAGATGGAACTATAAGTTTTAAAAAATACAAAAGAAAAGTTTTCGGGGTATTAGGATTACCTAATGGTGGTAAAGGAGGAAATGGTGGTAGTATTTATTTATGTTATTTAAACATAGATAGACAAAAAAAGAAATCAAAAAAAGCAAATAAAAATGATTTAAATAAACACCTATATATTAATAATTTGAACGAATTACCATGCGTTTTATCTGCAACAAATGGAGAAAAAGGAAAGTCAAATCAATTAAGGGGAAAATGTGGAAGTAACATTTTTATTTATTTAAATAAAATATGCCATGTTTATAAACTTTTTCCAGATACAGATGATAATAGTAACGTAAATTCCTCGAAAAAAGAAAGTCTAAATAACCATTCAGAAAATGATATTTCTGAAAACAAAGAATTAAATAATCATAACACTTTTGATAATGACAGAATAAGTGGAAAAATAATACAAAGACTTAACAGTTCTATGAATAAAGAATCAATGAATAATAATAATTTAATAAAAAAAAATTTGAATGAAAGTGCGATTAATTATAGCTCGAATTACGAAGAAAATGTTTATAATATTTTAAAAAAGAATGATCCAGTATATATTAAAAGAAATAATCATATTTTAAAAGAAATTATGAACTTTGATAAAAAAATAACAAAAGAAATATATTTAGGACTTTTAAATGAAAATAATGATTGTATATTACTTTCAAGAGGAGGAGTAGGAGGTAAGGGAAATAATATGAAGGATACTTTTTCATATGAAAAAGGAGAAAAAGGCGAAACTAGTTATATAAAAATTGTTTGTAAATGTATAAGTGATATTTGTTTTATTGGTTATAGTAAATCAGGAAAATCTACTTTGTTATCATTAATTACTCATAAAATTTACACAGTTAATAATTTATATATATTAAAAAAAATTTATTTTAAAGACAATTTTCAAATATCTGTAGCTGATTTTTTTAATTGTAATGATGATTTAAGAAAAAATAAAAATGAAGAAAATATATCTACATTTTATATTAACCAAAATTTATTTAAATATTTAGAATTAACACATTTAATTGTTATTGTTCTTGATTTTAACCATAATTTGATTACCCAGTTTTATAATATTAGGTATTTTTTTATGTGAATTCGAATTTAATATGTTACAATAATTAATATATATAGAAAATAAATATATGTTTGTATATATATTTTCTTAAAATTTTTAATAGATATATAAGAAAAGTTATAAAAGATAATAATGATACATAAACAAATATATGCTTAAACGAACATTTTTTTTTTTTTTTTTTTTTTATTTAGAGAGGAAATGAAAAAAGATGAAAAGATTTATCGGAAACCATATATTGTTGTTATTAATAAATGTGATATAAACTTTAAAGAAAATATAAAGAAAGCTGAAGATTCATTTAATGAAATAAAAACATATGATAATAATGTTTCCATCTTTTTTATAAGCGCAAAATACGCAATAGGAATAAATGAATTTGTTAGTTGCTTAAGAAATTTTATACAAAAATTAAAGCAAAAAAATTAATTTTCCTATGTTCATTAAAAAAAAAGACAAAAAAAAAAAAAGAAGAAAAAAAAAAGAAGAAAAATTAAATCATAAAAATAATAATACGATAAGCAAATTCAGTCAAATTTTCAGTGCAATTTTGCACTTCATTATTAAAATATATGCATATTCAAATATAAATGAAAATTATCAATTATATTTGTTAATAAGACTAATAAAACAAAAAAAAAAAAAATTTTTAAATATAAATGAAAAATATCAGATATATTTTCTAGTAAAATAAACAAAAAAAAAAAAAAAAAAAAAAAAAAAAAAT